AGAATTAGGGTTAAGGTTAGAGCTAGAGTTAGGTTAACGCGCGAAAACCTTGGCCTTGGAAGAAACGCGCTAAAGCACAGAAACCAGGAAAAACCCGCTCTTGCCGGCCTTTAAAATTTTGGACTGTATAGTGATGTTATTTGTGGTCGGCTTTAAAGAAAGCACCTCTCCTGTCCTCCCCTGCCGACACAAACATGGCTATTTTCAGGGCCTTCGTCACAATATCCCCCAGTTCGCACCCCACTGCCGAAGGTCTGCCCAAGAGGACGCTAACCCTAACACTAACCATGTATACCAACAGTTCTCAACCTGCCAGTCGCGACCCCCTTTTTTGTGTCAAACGACCCCTACACAGGGTCGCCTAAGACCATCTTAAAACATATATACATCGAAGTTATGAAGGAAAATAAATGTTTGGGAGTTGTCACAACCTGAGGGAACTGAATTAAAGGGTTGCTGCCTTAGCAAGGTTGAGAACCATTGACCTATACTATAGCATCTTCTAGGGAACTGACTGACTGACTTTCTACCCCACCAGGACATTACACAAGCGATAAACACCAGATGACACAATGTGCCACCCTGTGGGTGAGGATCGCCGCGGAGAGTTCCCAGAAACCGCGTTCAGCAATTAGACCATATTTATGACCGGGCTATATTGCGGCCCCTGGCAAGAGCCAAGGTGAGGCTTCAAAATAAAGAAAAATTGCATCTCACAAAGAGATGGCGGATTATCGTTATTCTAGGGAAAAACCTAGGAATTCTCTAGACAACCTGGGAAAGTATCAAAAATTAATTTTATAAAAGCCACATATTAATTACAGAGCCGTCATGGTGTAGTGGCTAGGTGCTAGCCTGCGGGTCGGAAGGTCGTAGTTCGGGTCCTGTGGAACAGGACATTCTTCAAAAATGACATTGGCTCCCAGGTCAGTCCAACTTTGAGCCGGCAGCCAGGGCAGTCCTGTGAAGAAAAGGCGACCAGCATGATGCTAACTACATCACCCGCCAAGTGTTGATCGGTCCATAAAGTAAAAGTCTAATCCTAGATGCCCGATACGCCTGAATGCGTGAAGAAGGGTCCTTTACTTTTCTTACACAATAATTAGGAACCGCTGTAGCTTCTTCTTTGTTGTCTTTGTCTTCTTCTTCTTCGTCTTCTTCTTCTTCTTCGTCGTCTTCTTCGACTTTTTCGTCTTCATTTGAACGGTGTGTTGTGGTATACGATTACGCTGCGAAAGTTTCGCCTTTCGGCTCAAAACATTTGTTATCAGCAAATCTATAATTAACCGCCTTAACCCAGTGCTTGTTGTCAGAGGAGCAGTATAATCCCCCTCGAAACCCACATGAAAACCATCACCATCTGCAGGCGAAGTCATATCTCAGAGTAGCTGCAGAGACAAACCACCCTTTGCACGGGGCTCTGGGTGCAGTTAAGGGTCAGCGGCTGATAAGAGGGAAGTCATGGATGGCTAAGGCTGAAGATACAATCAGACAGGTTTGCATCCTTGAGAACATTAGGCGAGGAGAGGAGTGGGTCAAAGTGTCACCTGAACAGTCAGACTTGTGTAGAGTTAAAATCGCACTGAGCCAGGAATGCAGAGACTGGCCAGCAGGTGTCACAGAGGTGGAAATTCAGCAATTAATTTAAGATAATGCTCGCTCAGAAGATTTGATCATTTACAAAGACGGTTCAGTGTCAAGAGGCAAAAGAAGTGCTTGGGGTTTCTTAGCAAAAGTTAATGGTCGACATTTGGTGCAGGAGAGCCTAGCATATGATACCACAACATCTAGCTTAAGAATTGAGGTGGAGGCTGTCACTACAGCTTTCAGCTGGCTAGAGAACACGAAACACACATATCGTGATTGTAACTGACTGAGAAAACATGCTAAGGAAGATCAGGACAGGCATGCTTCGTGCAGCCTGGCATGCCTCGCTACGGAAGACACGGGTGGGGAGTAGTGTCTGGATTTTTTCACCAGGGTATGCCGGTTTGTTGGGAAATGAACAGGCGGACAGACTGGCAGGCTCTGCACAGCTTGGTGGAATACTGATGCATGATAAGGCAGACGTGGTTAGTGCCTTGTGGAAGAGCTTGTACAGTTCAGAGGAGCAGATTGATCAACACAGTCTGGTGAGACTGATGCAGTTGGGAGTGACGAAAGGTTCGGGCAGATGCTCGAGGCTCAGAGGAAAGGCAAGACGGATGTTTAACCAGAATGCTACTGGCACCATTAGTATCGGAACTCTTCGCTGGCTGCTGAAAATGGAGACGGAGCGCTTATGGGAATGCCCCAAGTGCTGTGATGTCGGTTCTTGAATCAAATCAAATCAACCATCATCAGTGTAGTCGACTTTTCTACATAGTATCGATACTGATTACTGAGGTGGCTTTTTTTTTTCTCCAGAAAGGTTTCCGTACTACAGTGTGTAAAAAATAGTACTGGTACTCACTTTAAAGGGTCTGTTACAGTAATCTCAGAAACAAAAGTGATGTCTTTAAAAAAAAAACCTGTCTGTACTGCTCACTGTTGCGTACCACCAGACGAAATTGCCATGAATACACAAAACACAGGTCATGGGCTTGACCTCTCAAGGGTCACCATCCTTGACCTCCCAAGGGTCACCATTATGTCAACATTCGACATCATCCGCCTCCACGTCAGAGGGACACAGGAGGACAAGAGCAGGAACCCCGATAGACGTCAACACTTCACCAACCGGGATGTTTGTGGCTTTATCTCCTTGACCCCAGAGTACTTTCCACCAAGTTTATTGTTTGTCAAATTTATCAGCACGCCGGACTAGATGTAATAATGTTATATAAGCTGTTGTACTGTCACTGACACCTGTGTTTGAAAATGTATACTCTTGACTAACCTAGATAGATGACAGAATTCAAGTTGACTCGAATGTTGTTTACTTTATACGTTTATAATCAAGCGTAAGTGACGTAATTTTTATCGTGTAACACCGACCTTTATGTAACTGGGTCTTCGGGACTTAAAGGTAAATATGACTTAGAATGTTATTTTTCTAAATAGGATTTAACTTCTAAAGAAAAAAGCTTGCATCAAACAGTTTGAAACAGGCTTAACCTTATCGGTTTAGGTTTCAGTATGTTTTCATTCTGAGCTTTTGTGGATTTTAAATAAAATAAAAGTTATCTAGTGTTGTTATATTATTATTATTCTAGTAGTAATACCATAACTTTTCAGGCAAAATTGTTTTCAGCATTACTGTAATAGACAATATGTATGTCTACCAGCACATTATTATGTTTTTTTTTTTGTTTTTAGATAGTTTGTAGTAAGTATCTGATTTACAGCTATTGAGCTTGTACTTTGTCTTAAGAGTCAGCCAGCATGTGAACAGATTATTGGGCTCTCCTCCGAACTTCATTCCGATATTATGGCGGCCATTAAATATCCTCAGGCATATGTAAAATGCGGACTTTCTGCCAAGGAACAAATTGCCGCAAAACTAGGATTACTTGACAATTTCAACATTGCAGACAATAGTAGCAGACGATAATAGCGACCGTTGACAATTTTGAGCGTTTCTGCAGATGATAGTAGCAGATGATAATAGCATGCGCAAAACTCGATTAAACTCACCGCCGAGCGTTTCCTCCGCGCTGCTACGCGCGGCGCGGATGGGGGGGCTAAACTAGGTGCCTGGGACTCACGAGCAAATTAATTGTAGGAAGTTGCAGGAGATGCGGCAGCTGCTGCTCATGAGTCCCACCCTTCAAGTTCAGCCCCCATCCGCGCTGCGCGTAGCGGCGGGGGGTATACGGTCGACGGTGAGGCATAGTCACAGAAACAGGTCCGCAAGTAACATATCGCTGAGACCCTGTTAGAGCATTTGTTTCGTTATACGGAGCCGGCATATTTTTAAAAGAACTGAGCCCGTAAGGATATTTTATGGCCGCCATAATATCGGGTTGAAGTTCGGAGAAGAGCCAAATATTGAATTGATGTAATAATAACTAATAAATTTAAATCTTTTGAGAAAAGGCTTCTTCTTCTTCATCTTTTGTTCACTTGAAATAGATTATCTATATCATATCTGCAGTGTTGTCTCTAGTATGAACTTCACTGTCTGTTATAATTCACTCACCGACCCGTAAATTTGGCTTGCACTGTGTTTTTCTTGGTCAAAAGTTTTTCCTTGATATGTTGTTTTAGCGAGAGTCTTGGAGGACGTGATCTGTTGTCTCAGGTACTAATCCACATGTGCACCTGACCGATACGCCAGTCTTAAATTTTCTATATATGTAGCTGTGAAGTTGATTGTGTCCTGTTCTAAGGCATAGTTTGTAATATGGTAATCATCTTATGCCATTTTTGGTGGCTTTCTGATTAATGTGATTATTTTCTTCTTTTTTTGTTGATAAGAGACTGGTAAGTCAGGTTGTTCTTTATTTGCACGTTTGTTAGCTAGCTTATCAGCATTTTCATTTCCGGAAACTCCACAACAGGATGGTATCCATCTAACACCGATCACCCAGTTCAGAATGTAGTTTCAGAATACGTGGTAGTTTTCCAGATTTGATTGCCTGAAGTACCGCTCTTTGCATCTGTCAGGAATACTACAGGTTGTGAAATATGCTATTTTGATGGCTTGAACTTCTGCATCATAGTTGTGACAGTATTTTCCTGTAGGTGTTTTGTCTGTATATCTGATACTGTTTGGTTCTCATACTATTGGAAGGCTCATTGACTGCCTCCATCTCCATTCTCAAGCTAGATCATATTCTAGGCTTTGCTGTACTAAGGAATTTGAGGAGGGGAAGAATGAGAATAAATACTACAGTGTTTAAACTATCTTCTTGTTAACTTGACAGCTTCATTCCTTAATATATAGTGGCACATGCTGACATTTTATCATGCAAATTAACTTTTTTTCATGAATTATTTCAAAAAAATTCACTGAAACGACACCTACAGATTAAAAAGCTGTTTGTTTACTAAAATAAACGTATTTAATGTTCCGAATTCTAAATTTTTGTTGCCATATCTGTTACTTTTACGTTGTTTATGTAGGACTGATTAATGTTTTTTGCATTTAGCAAAGCCTGATGGAAATTGCTGAATTCTTTGTTAGAATTTTCAGACTTGTGCCAGATGTCATAAACTGCTTTTCTGTGCTGAGTGCTTGAATCTATAACACTTTTATGATTATCCCATACTGAAAAAGCAGCTGTTAAAGAACTGGCTGTTTTTGCTGGTGATTTCCTTTGCTGTGTGATGTTTTCATAATTCTTGACTCCGTTTACAAAATAAATTCTGTGATGTTGTTGTTTACACTCTTGGTTGATGTCTTTATCTTGCTGGGTCATATTTTTTGTGGCACATTCTTTGCTAATGGCTTCAGCGTTACAGGTAATGTTCCCTTGGACAAATTTTTGGATGTTGTTGTTCAGGGTAGGCACTTCAGGTATCTGAGAAAGAACAAAAACAAGATAGTTATCCTGAGAATGATTGATATAAATCCTCATGGGGTTCAGGGGTCTCATTTTGGTAGAAAAAATGGAAAGACCCAGTAGGCTAAAGAACATGTCATAAAAGGTGACTGAGAGAGGAGGGACAACAGTCTGCATACAGATAAGCAAGATCTGTAAAATGGATGTGCACACAAAAACTCAACAAGATCAAAATTTCAGAAGTGGACTAACAACCTGAACTTTCCATCAGTTTACAGCTGGTGAATGCTGAAACAAAAACAAACAAAGAAAAAGAAGTAGTGACAAAATGTGGCAAGAACTTTGAGACAATCTGAAGAAGAGGGCAAAAGATAATAAAGCATTGTGTGAATTTGTATGAGGGTCTGTACTTTCATGTGGGATGAAGGGTAGAAAAAAAGAATGTTTGTCCTCTAATGTATCAGAAAGTAAGAAAGGCATTTACTGTAACAGATTAAATTAAACAAGAATTGACATCATACATGTATGCAACAAAATCAGTTCAAAAAGCAAAGTATTCACTGTAATTACTTTCTTGATCTTTTGTTTTCTTCCATTGCTTCTTTTTGTTTTTTTCCATGGGTACCAGGATGGGCTGTCCTGGGAAAGTAAAGACAGCCGGCGTAATGCTGACCACATTACCCACAGAGTGCTGATGGTTTGTAAAAATATGGGACGCTCTGCCTTTTTTTATCTTTGTGTCTTCTTCCCCCTCCTCCTCCTCCTTGATTCCCAGCAATCCATATGTGGGTTCCAGAGCCCCATTGTTGGGAAAGGGAATGGGGTGGATAGACCCACTGCCCTCCTAACAAGCATTTCATAAAAGTCTACTAATTAGGGATTTTCTTTTTATATCACATCAAAGTGTTTTTGCCTAAGAGGTGAGTAACCAAAAGTCTGCATAGTATAAGCCTGATCTGTAAAATGGATGTGTACATAAAAGTTAAATTCTGGAACAAGACTTAAGTCGAGAAGCGCAGTTACAACCAGAACTTTCCACTGCAATTTACAGCTAGTGAGTGTGGAGAATAAAAAGTATCCTTAATGGAACATAAGTTCTACTTACCCCCATGTACAAATATATGAGCAACCATCACTATTCTACAGGACTCTACCTGCCAGTGACCCAGATTTCATCAGTGCTTGACTTCATTTATAAAGCCACACCTTTGCACAGTTGGTTACAGAAGGCAATAAATAACCAATGGGTGGTATGACAAGCAAGTTAACATCTATGTGGAAGAGTTCAGAGCTAAATATGGCTAAAACAGATTTCATCGAAGATCCATATGATGAATTTGTCAGGGATGTGTTGAATGCAATAAAAACAGTGAGTTTTTCTTTCTTTTAAATAAATTGTTTTTGTGTCTGTAAGTTAAAAAAAAAATGATGTTGTTATAACACTCTGTAAGTGTTCGACAATTTTATGAAATTGTTTTGGTGATAAATTTGAGGTGAATAGGACTTAAACAATATATGGCCCATGCAGAGCGGCAAGCATCACTTCAGATATACGTCATATTGCTACCAGTACCATCGGAATTGACAACTCTGTGCTGGCTGCTGACGATGGCAGTTTAGTACTTATGGGAATTTCCTGATTGCTGTGATGTCTGTGCTCAGCTCAGTGAACATACAAAAATACACTGTTCAACCCTCATGGTTATAAACTGATATAAAGTGTTTACTGACTTTTTGGAGAACATTTTTTATATTTTACATATTGTATAATCATTTTGATGAACAGCCATAAAAGTATATGGCTAAGCACTTGTAAGGAAATCAAAGTCACCATGTTGTGAGCATACCTTGTAGCAGCATACGGATGCGAGTTGTGGACTATCTCGCAATTATTAATTAAAGAAGAAAATTGAGTCTTTTGAGCTGAAATGCTATATAAAAATTCTTAGAATACTACCGGTTAAGAAGAAATGAAATATTGGTATCTTTAAAGATCTGAACATCAAGGAAGATTGTCTCGTAAACAATATATTGTCTCAGAAACTGAAATATTTTGGCAATATCAGGTGTCACGGTGGCTTGGAAAGAACAGTGACCGGGGGGGGGGCATGGTACTAGGAGAGAGAATAGGTGCCAACCAGCATGAAGATGGGCACAGGATCAAAGAAACACTTTCACAGTGATCCTCACCCACATGGTGGCACTTTGTGTCATCGGGTGTTTATCGCTTGTGTGATGTCCTGGTGGGGTAGAAAGTCAGTCAGTCAGTCAGAAACACTTTGGGTAGGGAAAAAAAGTGTATTGTGCGAGAGCTGTAAGAGACTGAGTTTCTTTCAGGTGAACTGATTAAAGTGACTTTCTGCAAAGGACCTGTTACATGATGATGATGATAATTATTTCTTTCACACATTTATGCAATTAATATTATTATTATTTTAAATCTTGTCCTGTTGAAACTTTTTGAATTGTACTTATCACAGAAGATTATGTACAGTGATTACTTAGATAAGTTTAATAACACTGTGTCTCAAAAAGGTGGATCTATTATGTCCTTCATGCAGCTGTGGATCATTAGTTACTTAGTCTTTCCTCTTGTGTCGAGTGCGGCACATAGGGCAGAGGTCATGACTCTCCAAGCATGGCGGTTCTTTGCAATCTGTTGTAGGTCTTGGATGTTTGAGTGGCCCAGTGGATCATACTCATTAAATTAAACTTTAAAAATAATGCAGATTGCTAGCTTTGAAATTTGAAAGTGGAAAATTGTCAGATTAGGGTAAAATAATTGTTTGCTACATTTTATATATATATATATTAATTGCTGATTATACAGTGTCACATGATAATTATGTTATTACACATATATGTAGTTTATGTACAATTAGTAATAGTAATAGTTTGTTTAATTTTCTTGTAGGTTAATTGCTAATTACAGTTTTACGTGATTATTTGCTTGTATGTTATCACACTTAGATGTACACACAATTGTAGCATGTAGAACACCCTGGTCATCCACTGCACCTAGACATATCTCCAGTCAGAGAGTGACGTCGACAACACTACTCAACTCTTCCTCACTTTAATCCAGGTCACTGTGCAAGTCACTCTTTCACTCATTCCCTGTCCTCACTGTCCAAGAAATTTTCAGGCCCACATTGGCCTCATTGGTCATCATCTTCGTACTCATTCTTAATAATGGACAAACACACCTATATGTACACACATATGCAGTTTGTGTGTAGGCTATAAATGTTTATGTCATGTCACATCTGTTAGGGCAGTTGTGAAAGACTGAAGCAGCTGCAAGAGGAGGCTAGCATGATGATGTGGGGAGGTATTGAAAGCATAAATATGACTCCATCTGTTATACAGTCTGCTGCAATGCATGGGCGGGAGGACATTTTACAGTAAGTGTCATGCTGAGAGTACATGGTAGTAACATGCATGGTGTGTAGGAAGTGAGAAAGGTTGGGTGGAAGAAGTTGTAGTCAGCATCATCATGTGTCTTGTAAGTAGAATTCATACGTTCATTAGCTGTTGTGCCATAATATGTCACAGAGGGCTTGCGTCATTGTGTGTCAAATGGGGCTTGCAGTCTATTTCTCCATTCAGTTCTATCATGTACAGTCACTTTGATATTCAGGCTATCACCTTTGGTCTCTCTCATCAACCTTCGCCTTAGGGTTTCTCTGGGACCATTCTCATTTCCTCAGTCATGTTTGGTGATTCTCTGTTCCTTTCTTTTTAGAATGTGTCCAATGTAGCACCATCTTCTATGTCTTATAACTGTTGATGCTAGTGGTTGCCAAAAAATTTATATTATTTCTTCTCTTTTTTCTGTACTCATCTAGAATTTTTCTCTGAAGGCATAAAGAGAATTGATGATGATGATGATTTATGTAGGTAGAAAGAGAGATTGTAATTGTCTACAGTCTCCGATCACTTGTACAGTGTATTAATCCAGACTTTCCTGCAAATAAATAATTTTGATTCCAGTTTCCGATCTATGAGGATTTGTAAAATTCTTTTTTTTTTCATCGCGTTCAATGGGTGTAAACTCCGGTGGAAAGTTCTGATTGTTCATCCACTTATAGGTTTTAGTTTTGTTTCAGAATCTGAGATTTGTATGCACAATTGTTTTACAGATCTGGCCTTTCAGTATGCAGACTGTTGGTTCCTCACCTCTCAGGCAGATGCACTCCAACTTCAAAGACAATATCCCTAATTAGTTTACCCTTACGACATGCTTGTTAGGGAGGCAGAGGGTCTATTCTTTTTTCTTTTCTTCCCCACAATGGGGACCTGGAATCCACAATGGGAGATTTACATAATTGACATAGGCCTCACTTGTTGAATCCATCTGAAATAAATACCAGAAAATGTCTTGGGAAGTAAAAGGTTCTGGTGTGATGGTGACAGCACCACATATCAAGTGTGGATTAGTCTGAAAATGTGGGTTTAGTGCCACATCTCCAATCAAGTGTGGATTAGTCTGAAAATATGGGTTTAGTACCACATCTCCAATCATGTGTGGATTAGTCTGCAAATGTGGGTTTAGTGCCACATCTCCAATCAAGTGTGGATTAGTCTGAAAATATGGGTTTAGTACCACATCTCCAATCATGTGTGGATTAGTCTGCAAATGTGGGTTTAGTGCTACATCTCCAATCAAGTGTGGATTAGTCTGAAAATGTGGATTTAGTACCACATCTCCAATGTGCCAGTATTTTGCATTATTTGTATAGAAATTACCATCTCATGACATAGGAGTCAGCGCCTGTGGCTTAAGCATGCAGGTTTGATCCCAGCTGCAGGTGATTTATCTTGCTTTGGTTTCAACAGTTTTTGAGAGCTAACTGTTCAGAAAGCAATGGCAAACCTCTGAACGTACCGTTTGTCTAGAAAATCCACAGCAGCCAAAAACAATGCTGAGGTTGGCTCTGCAATGTCTAGTAAAGGATACACAACTAACATGACAGGACTCTCCTGAGTCTTCTCTTGCTGTCTTTCTCTCTATCTGT